AAATCTGAAAACCCTACCTCACACAATCTATTTTAAAGTTTTCAATTGCTTTCACTGAAAATGTTGAGAAAAGATTTTCTTCCCACTACAAGTAATTGTAGTGGTCTTTTTGTATTTGGTCTTTTCCCCAGTGTAAGTCTGCCTATACACTGGAGTCCAAATTATACATAGCTGATCTTTTTGTGTGTTGGCTATGTTACAGGTTTTTTCCAGCTTGAGAGGTTTTGAATTAAATTTCCTGTAAATTGTTGGCAAATGGCTGATAAAATGGCTAGTATTTACTGTGTGCTCCAAATTATTCATGCAGTGGCATGTGGTACTTTTCCTTCTTCTCTTTTCTGCAAATATTTACTTTTTGCAGATGAATTTCTAAAGCCAAAAAAGCACAAACCACTTGTAGGCAGCTGGTTTTTTTGCTACTCCCATGCCAACAGTTATATATATATATATAATGTTTTTTAGTAACTTCATTAATGTTTTTCTCTCTATCACTGTTTTCTAGAGTTTTTCTCTCTATCACTGTTTTCCAGAGATTGTTGTCTTTCAAGATAATTTAATATGACATACTAATTTGAATTAGAAGAAAATTTTGAAAACCTGTCCATGGACCGAACCTAATGTTGCAACTGTAGGCATAGAGTTATTAAGAGGGGTCCATTGTCAATGAAATACATTAACTCTAATGGTGAAGCTTGGAGAAGAAAAGCAAGCAAGCAAGCAAGGAAAGAAAGAAAGAAAGAAAGAAAGAAAGAAAGAAAGAAAGAAAGAAAGAAAGAAAGAAAGAAAGAAAAAGAAAGAAAGAAAGAAAGAAAGAAAGAAAGAAAGAAAGAAAGAAAGAAAGAAAGAAAGAAAGAAAGAAAGAAAGAAAGAAAGAAAGAAAGAAAGAAAGAAAGAAAGAAAGAAAGAAAGAAAGAAAGAAAGAAAGAAAGAAAGAAAGAAAGAAAGAAAGAAAGAAAGAAAGAAAGAAAGAAAGAAAGAAAGAAAGAAAGAAAGAAAGAAAGAAAGAAAGAAAGAAAGAAAGAAAGAAAGAAAGAAAGAAAGAAAGAAAGAAAGAAAGAAAGAAAGAAAGAAAGAAAGAAAGAAAGAAAGAAAGAAAGAAAGAAAGAAAGAAAGAAAGAAAGAAAGAAAGAAAGAAAGAAAGAAAGAAACTGAGCAAGGGAAAGGGAGACATAAGTGCCAGGAAGTAGGTGTGGGTCAGGCCATATTGGAAACAGACAGAGAATGGAAAATGCTTCCCAGTGGCCAACCTAGAAGAGAAGGGTGCAGAGTTGCCCAGATGAGTGTCCTCCTCTGTTTCACTTCTAACATGGTAACTTGATACTTTTCGTCAGGGTCTGCACAAAATCATCTTTGGGTTTTTCTGCTATTTGTGCTGTTACTGCTGATGGAACCACTAAAACAATAAAGTTTAAAGGAACTGTAAAGTTTAAGATGGAAGGTCAGCTGCAGTGAGGTTGCATCCTCAGTATTTCTATGGCATCCAGACTGTATCAATTACAATTAGCTTTTTGTGTGTGTGTGTGTGTGTGTGTGTGTGTGTGTGTGTGTGTGTGTGTGTGTGTTTGTATGCTGATGGTGTATGTTGCTATTTATCTGCTAAAGACTAGTGGTGATGTGGCACATCATTATATCTCTAGAGTTGCTCCTTTAGTATAAGAGATTGTTCTGTGGTATGGCTATAGGGATGGCATACTTAAACCTGGAATTTCACCTCCTGGCCCAGGTACATATGCAGACTGTACCACATGGTTCATGTGATATGAAGTCTACATTTTACAACTACTCCTTACTAAAATATGCAGCTGCAGCAGCAGCATAAAATTTTGACTCAATATAGTGTCTGAACAACTATATTAAAACAAATTAAATGCTTTTTCCATATAATACATTTCTCCTTGTTGTGGTTTAATCTGGAAGGTAACTAAATATCTGTGGGTCCACTTTCCACCACCACCCTTTCCCTGTGTCCCCTCCAGCTTTTTGTGCCTCAGATTCCTCACTGGTGCAGCAGTGAGAAGACCTTCAAATTCCTTCAGTTGGTGTAAACACTGCTTAGTAAAATCTAAAATATCAGTGTGTCATCAACATTATTCTTATCCTCAATCTGTCACTATACCAACAAGGGCAAAAATTAACTCTGTCCCAGTATCTGCTCTTAATTCTGTGTCGTTTATGTCATGTCCAGGTTCCATTCTTCCCAATGCATCCTTCCCTGTCTTTTGACACATACACAGAAATATCATTCCTTTAATCCTCTAAAACGTCCATTGAGTAAAATTAGTCCATAGCTTTGAGCTTCTTCTGTCACAGCAGATCGTCAGGGCTGGAGAGATGGTGCATGGTAGCGGATAAAGTCCATGAAAAGTCCATCCCTCATTCAAAAACCCATTTGTATGTTGCATCTCTTCTTCAATGGCCCAATGTGTCGTAGGCCCACTGAGCTACCTATCTTCCCAGCTACCTTGTGATAGTCCTGCTTGGGTTAGTCTGCTTCGTGATCCCTCTTAGAGGCAGTTCCTTTATCTCTTATTAAATATGTCCATTTCTGTTGCTATTGAGATGGTCACAACACACAGAAGAACACCATACAATTTCAGAAGGTTTCTCTCAGAAGGTTTATTATAACAGCATGCTGTCCTTTATATATTCCAACAAAGTTTATACTTATTCATTGGTTACAATGAATCAATACAGTGATCATTGGTACAGACCAATGTCCACCACTGTTTTCAACTAACATCCAACTGTGAGTTTCTTTTGTTTATAATTTTTTTCTTCTTGGTTTCCATGTCAACAGCCTTGGCAGAATTCCCCTTCAGGGGTAAGCACGACTCTTATCACCTTCTTCTTCAACTAACTCTTCCTAGCTCACAGACCTGCTGTCAGCCCCTTCCACACACTTCTGCTTCCAGTTTTTCTCCTTGCATACAAGCACAGATAATACTGGCACAAGTTGGTTCTCTTGTTCAGCCATGGATTCTGTCACTTTGCTCTCAGTGCCAGAGACCTTCCCTCCCTGCAGCTCTGCTGAACAGAGCTCAGTCAACCCAGACTACGCCCCAGCACATTTGCAATGATTTGTGTCTCTCTGGAATTATCTGGCAACAGCTCATCTTTCCTAAATATTTTAATAATTTTTCTGGATTCCTCACTTTTTCAGAGGTGAAGTTCCAAAACACTGGGAGATGCCCCCTGTCCTAGGCACTTGCCCATCCTATCCCATACTCCCATACTATACCCCATACTCATAGCTATCCAGCCTTAGGGCAGATCCCTGGGTGATGTTCTTACCTAGTTGTGTAACCTTACATAAGACCTGACATATTCATGCATCATAGCAATGCAAAGGTGCTGGTTTGGACACCTTGGGGATACGTTTCAAGAGCTGTTGTAACTCACCTGGAGGAGAAGGGAAGGATGTCAGAGAGTGTCATTCCCATGGACGACCCTTGGAGGTGTAGTTAGGTGTCATTCCCAACAAGTAGCTCCTGCCGTGCAGGCACAGCAGCAATGCTGGGTGCACACACTGCCTTAGTCCTGCCAACAGGTATCTTATCATATCAAAACCCCATTTACAAAGCACAAAATGTAACCTTAACCCAGAGCTGAGAAATGACACAAGGGAGAGCACACACAGCAAGTAAGGTGTTGCCCAATGCAACTCTGAGAATACACAACAACATTGAGATCAAATAAATCAACATTGTGGCTAACAACTCTTAAACCAATGCAACTAATTATAACAAATTTGTTTTAACATGTCAGAACAGTGGTTATCTTAACCCTTCACACCCATGATGGACTGTTGTGGTTTAACCCAGCAGGCAGTTAACACCATACAAACTTCATGTTCACTTCCCTGTCATCACCACAGGATGAGTGAGATGACTGGGGAAAAAACCATTAAATTCACCCATTGAGATAAAGATAGCTTAATAGGCCAGAAACAGGAGGGGAAACAAAAATAACTATCATTAAAATTAGAATATACAAAACAAGCAATACACCATGCAGCTGCTAGCTACCTGCTAGCTGATACACAGCCAGTTCGCAAGCCCCCAGTCAGCTTTATCTGTAGCTGATATTACTGAACTTTACACCATATATAAGGAATATCCCTCCAGCTTGTCAGAGTCAGCTATATCACCTGTGTCCCCTCCCAGCTACTTGTGTCCCCCAGCCTCCTCACTGGTGGTGTGATGTGAGAAATAGCAAAAGTCCTTGTCTTAATGCTTAACTCTTCATCCATCAGTCTGTTATCAACATTATTCTCATCCTAAATCTAAATCACACAATTTTGCCATATACCAGCATGAAAATTACTCTGTCCCACACAAAATTAGGACAATTATGTACTGAAAGGACAATTTTACATCATGTCATTTAGAAACTTCCCCACATTTTGCAGACTGTTTGGGTAATAGGCAAAGACTTGAGCTTTCAAAGCATCGCATTGCTTTGTCACTAAATAAATGTTTCAATAAGGCCTTTCTGTTGACCCAATACATTTCTAGTGTCTGATGAGGGCTTAGAAAATGAAAAAGACTTTTCTTAAACCAAACACAGGTAAATTATATAACCTTCTTTACACAGTGAACAAACTCTAGACAAAAACAGTAGATTCTTGATTTTAAGAAAACTTTGGCAAAAAAAAAAAAAGTAAATGTAATTGTTTTGGGGGATTTTTTATCATTTCAGTGAGATTAAAAAAAATGTTACTCACTCCCGTAAATATGCAAGGCTCACTAATTTAAAAAAAGGTTATATAATATGAATAGGGAGGACTTACCAATAGGAGTGAAGGGTTAGAAATGTAAATAGGTAGATAAAGCCAACTGAACATGCCAAATTCGATAATGAAAACCTACATACTACCAGGGCTTCATGGGCAAAAAAATGTATCACATCCACTTTTAGCAGTTCACTCGTGTCACAAGCAGTCCAAGCAGTAAGTTTGGTTTGAGCTCCCTAGAACAGAGGCTATGCTCCTACTCTTAATATGTCTATATTACTATATATACAGTATCTGCACGTGACTCAGCCCTGGAAGAATGACAGATAACAAGAACAATACTAGTGACATAAAATATAGGAATAGAGTGCACAAGACTAGTGGCTAAAAATTTGTAAGCAGTTCTAGATAGAAAAGCTTCTGTGGCATCATACAGAAACAGGCATTTAAATATTTGTTCCTACAATTTCCAAACCTCTTGTAATTTGAGGAATAGTTAAAACCATTGGAATGTTGATATGAATGAGAATGCGTAGGGATCTAGAAGATTAGATCCACGTCAGACTTCTGTTTTATTCAGAGGTTTGGCTTCCTGCCCTCTCTTCAGGCAATAAATTGGCGGTAACAGCTGCTTCTAGCATTCTGTTCAGTAGAAGTATCCTTGCAGAGCAAAAACACACAAAATAAGGTAAGCAAGAATGGCAGATTACAGCAGGTTTAAATAATTTAAGATTATGTTATCAGACTGTTGAAATTTTATGAAGTAGTGATTTTTTCAGTTGACCTTAAAGTTTTCTTAAGAAATCTTTCTTCATCTAGTTAATATGCATTTTTGTGTATTCCTGTGTCTAGTTTAGATGATAGATTTTGTAAAGTCTGATTTGAATGAAACTATAGCCTCATTTTTATTAGATATAGGATGCTAAAAATTCTTTTTAATCCACTGTTAAATTGTAATAAACCTGGAGGAATTACTATATTGGCTAGCAGGCCTGACAGCTATCCCAATGCACTCAACTAAAACAGTCTGACCCTGCAAGGATCTTAGACATATCTTGTTAGAAATTTGTCAACAAGGTATGAGATAATATTTGGAACATACCACCATATGGACGAACTCCAAAATTCTAAATGCTGTTTTTATGAACTGAATTTGATTTAGTTTAATTTTATGATCACATAAATCTTGTGGTTAAATGAAAGACAGAACAAACAAGACTACAACGGGAGCAAGAGAGACTATATAACAGGTTTTCTTTGCTGTCTTCATATCAATGAACTAATATAATCCATGTAGTAGTAAAAAAATTTCAAATTTCCTCTGCTTTTAGTGTGATCTTGTTGTCATTGATCAGAAACATTCTCATTAATTTATTAGAAGTAATTAGACTGCTGCTAGTTTCAGCAGTTTAATGAACTTTAATTCCCTTATACTTAGTTTAGATAAAAATGAAACTAATCAGATCGAAGTTATGAAAACAGTTGTTGACACATCTGCAGCCAAGAGCAATATCCAAATCTTCCTAGTCCTCTTCAAGGTATACCTTACAGAAGAGAGAAAAGAACTGAAGAAATAGGTATGAAAGACATTAGGATAAAAAAATCAACATAGGAAGATGCACATAGCACAAAAGACCATGACAAAGAATGAAAAATGTGGGCAGAGGTAACATGTATGCAAGAACATGTAATGATAGGAAAGGTTTATTGAAATTGGAGTATTTATATGTCACTCAGTCTTAAGGAATACACGGCAATTAATGGTGTGAAAACTTGTTTTATTTATTGTAAGGAGTTTTAATTGTTCTGGAGAACAATTAATTGGCTTCTGGAGAGCCAACAGAGGTGAAGTTCTACCACAGAATTTTCTATTTTCTACTTGTTTAAACAAGACAAAGTAATTAAAATTTAGTACAGTCCTTCATGACATCAAGGTTACCTGTTACAGAAAGTTTTATCATAGAAAATTTCTTCAGAATTTATCCACTTCCTAAACATGTTTCTGAAAATGTCTTTCAACTGGTCTGTCCTCTTCAGGAATTCCTCAGTCCTGACTTGTGAACATTCTCCTTTTTTTCTAACCATTCTGAATGTAAGTAATGCAGGTGCAAGACTCTGAACATAGATCAAAACCGGGAATTGGGATCCTCAGAACCTCTGATCAATAGCAGCCAAACATTACACTTGTTTTCAGTAGGAAACTTGAGTAAGTGATTGTGTGTTTTTGAGCCTCATAGACCTAGCAAAATCTTAATGCTTTTTTAAATCTTAATGAACGCCTGGAGACTTAGATCTCTAAAGATCCACAAGGTGGCATTACTGTCCACACACGCCATAGGGCCCGATTCAGGTGGAAGTTTATAGAGACAAGTTTCCTAGTGAAAGAAATACAAAAATGTTTTGTTTTGTTAAGAATGCTCAGTGATAAAGCAGTTTTGGCAAGATAAGGAAGACCCAGACTTTTTTTTCTACCTCTGACTGCAAGTTATCACTCATGATACAATGAAGAGCAATCCCATATAATAAATGTTTCATTTTTCAGTTATCTAACTGAATGTTGTTATAACTAGAGTTGAAGAGAGTGAATAAGAGCCTTAGCTATTCCTTTTAGTCTGGTAAAAGATAACTACCAGGGACAGAAGTCTTTCATTTCATGTCAAAATTTAATACAAAGCTTTCCATCAGGGAAGTGAACCAAACCAGAAAAGGGAACTGCCCTACTCTTCCTTGGGTGAATTTACAAACCATAACACTTGTGTCAGAGCCATAATCTTTCTGGTCTGACAGACATTTAATTATTCTGTGCAAAGCCACATGGGAATAAAATTGTACCCATCTTCACTTGTTTCATTCACCAGGATACTAGACTGAATAGAAGCTCATTGTTTTCTTTGGTTTGCACTTGCCATAAACACTTGTCATAAACAGGTAATTTCAGGAGAGCATGTAGGCTTTCATCTTCCCTTTCTTTAGACCAAAGTAACATCCTTAGCTCTTCTGAAATACAGTGATATAACTTGCAACTTCAGGATACCTTAGTAGCTGCCTGGGTGGTTTCACCATCAAAGTAGTTCACATTCTTAGACGTCAACCTCTCAGGTATCTAATCTGATCTTCCTTAATAATGATAACATATTCTTCAAGTTTCCAAATTCCAGACCTCATTTCTAAGTCAAGATTTTCTGAACTTTGGTTTAAGATTGCAATATACCTATGTATACCTCTGAGAGTCAGATTATGCTGTTTTGAAGTTAGCATAATTTTCAATCACTTATGAATGCTTTGGCAATTATCTTAGACTGTATTCACAAAATTAATGTGATTTTTCAAATCAGTTAGCAAAATGTAGCTGGCTTCCTATGACTGACAAAAACTAAAGCCACAAACACTTCTTAGATATTATCCAAGGGGAAGTCTTTCAAAATATTTTTGTTCAACATGACTGCGTTATCCACGTTGGCGTGCATCTTAGTGGAAATTTAGATAGTTAACTGATTTACCATCACTGGAAACACAGTATTTTTGCTTTGCAAGACGAAGACTTGGATCATGCAAGCAATCAAGCATTTTTTGAGTTTATTTACTTCTAATAATAGTCATTAATCAAAATTATATTTGAAAACTTGTTTCTCAATGGAAGCACAAAGTCTTGTGACAAATTCTAATTCCTACTTTAGGACTCAAAACAGAAGTCAAGTGAGATCATCAACATCTTCAGCACCTCTGCAATGCTGCTCCGCTCAGGCCGTAGAAAGCCTTGTCAAATGCCTCTCCATAGAAGGCAGACTGTGAAGAAGAAATTTCTGCTTAGAAATACAAGAACAGCTCCTGGGAAGACAGGTAACTCTTACCTGTGTGACAGATGTGATTGTAATCTTGAAAAGAATATTCCAATCCAAGGCAAAATCCAACAAAATTAAGCATGCAGAACAGCTTTTCTATGATGCTGTCAAAAAATAAAAATACTTGGTGAAAAATAAACCCAAAAGCTACCTTTAAAATGACCAGAAGATAAATATTCCTTTAAAATACCTACATTACATTTTTCAGCCCACCATGCTCAGACCAGTAATTCCCAATGTACAAATATACCTCTCTGTAAAAGGGTGAATGATAAGCAGACCTGCCAACCATTCTAGTTTGGGCACTGTACTAGTTCTTGTAATTCTAATTGTAAGTGGAATTCTTACACTATAGCTACTTCAATATAAAATTTTTAGTGGTTTGCTGTATTGATTATTGTAGTTGTTCTGTTGCTTTTTAGAACAACGCATCTTTTTTTCTGGAAGCCTAATTGCCATCTGCCTTTGAAGAGAAAACTTTTGTCCAGCCATAAATCAGCTATACATGTAATCAAAGGTCCAACACAGAACCTGCCACTTCTGAAGTGTGTGATTCAACTGTCAGGATGTGCATCATCCTTCTCTTTTTGCAGAGTTTCTGCTCAGCCTAAACAGGGTGGAAAGAAAGCTTCTTGGAAACAATGGATTTTTTTCAAATATTTGCGTAAATACAGATGTTTCAGAGGAATTATCTCATAAAATAAGTAAAAAAGTTTTTGGTGAAATCAAGCATTCCTAAAGCATTATGCTACTGCTGATGCAGTCTGGATATCCTGTTGTTTTGTTTGCCTAATTATCCTGGTAAAGACAGGATTTTTATCTCACAGCATACCCTGGAGGTCTGTGTCATCTCAGAAACTTCTTAACTGCATTTGAAATTATCAAACCTCCTCCAGTAAAACAATGTTAAGCTGAACATAATCAAAATTGTGCCTTATAGTGTTATTCTGGAGGTGTCTGATACCCGAGTGTTCGGACATACGTTCTTCTGGCATCAGAACAACACAGCTGTGTTTAGGAATGAAAGACAACAATTTCCCTCCTGGAAGCTTTTAGCTAAAAAGACCTGGGTTTGTTGGTTTGTGTTTGTTTGTTTGTTTGTTTGTTTGTTTGTTTGAAGTATGAGCTGTCCAATCCCCAAACTAAATGGTGCTATTTTAGCTAACCATAAGCACTCCAACCTAAAAGTCCTGTTTACAGCCAGATCCAATATTCAAAATGCAAAATTGGGAAACAGGCAAGTACTTAGTTGTGAAATACAGGAAACTAGTCTATAAACAGTATGCTGCAGAGAAACATTCCCTACTTTATCTCTTCTTTTCTTCATAAAGAAACTTACAACTTTATTTTTCACATCTCTCAATTCACAGACTTCTGTGAACAGCCTTGCTTTGGCTCAGGTTTCCCACAGAGCTGCATTGGCTACTCTAAGTCTACTCATTCACCAGTCAACTGCAAATGTAGACCCACTCTCACACGCTCAAATTCATCCTGTCCCCATTAATCTTTACTCTTTTTCAACACAGCTATCTGCATGCAGTCCATCATGTCGCTTTCTTACACTATTACTTAGGCTCTTGAGTTGAAATCTATTTTGCCAAACTCAAGTTTTCGTATGTTATTTCTCTAAAAGGTTGAGATGCATCTTTTCTGGTCACTGACATAAACTTCTAAGCAAATAAATATTTATTTTCCTTCTTCACACCAACACCAAACCCTCAAAACAGCTGCTTAAACCCTCTGGATAATTTCTAGTATATGTTTGCTATACTGCTCATAGTTCACATATATTCTATGTATATGTGTAAAGTAAAGTAAAGTAAAGTAAAGATTGTTAAAAATTGGACTTGATATTTTTCTAATGGAATCTTGTAATTTGTCTGTTGATAGTAAAATTAATTATAATTCATTTTTATTAGTGTTTAGTCTGCGGAAAACATCGAAATGTTTTATACTAACTGAAGATTCAAAAACAGTGCATTTTGATATAGATGAGGATGGTCATCATGAAATATCTACCAAGGATTCACAATCCCATGAAGGTAATGTTCCTTATGTACCAAAACTCACCAACTGCATGTATAGTACTCAGGATATTTTCAAATGTACTATTATGTGTCATGTGTCCCTGGGTCCCTGTCTTCAAGAAAGACACTGAGGTACTGGAGAATGTCCAGAAAGGGCAATGGAGCTCGGGAAGGGTTTGGAGCACACGTCTGGTGTGAAGCACTGGAGTGAGCTGGGGGTGTTTAGCCTGGAGGAAAAGAGACTCGGGGTGGGGACCTTATCTCTACAGCTGCCCAAAGGGAGGGTGTATCCTGGTGGGGGTCGGTCTCTTCTCCCAGGTAACAAGAGGCTGGATGAGGGGAAATGGCCTTGGGTTTTGCCAGGGGAACTTTAGATTAAATATTAGGAAAACTGTCTTCGTTGCAAGTGCTGACAAGTTTTGGAAGAGGCTGCCCAGGAAAGTGTTTGGGTCTCCACCCCTGTAGGGATTTATGTGTTTGAATGAGGTGATTAGGAATATGGTGTACTTGGCAGTGTCAGATTATGGTTGTATTCAATGATCATAAGAGTATTTCCCAACCTAAATGATTCTGTGGTCCTGGTCTCTGTAGATATAACAATATATTGGATCTGTATGAATATTGATAATGATACAAGAAAACTTTTATTCAGATTTACAGTAGGTATATTATCTATTTAAATGATAATATTATATTATTCACACTCATTTGATTTAGTGGGAAGTCTAGACATTTAGCTCTAAAGAGAGACAAAGGAAAGGTAATGCTCAAGAACAAATACAAAATGAAAGAACAAATGCAAAATGGAGAATAGGGCACATTTTGGAATTTGTGAGCTTATTTTGTTTGTAATTTAACTCTTTGTCTCAACTGGGGCTTCAGTATTTGACACCAAAGATGTTATCGTAAGTATCATCACGCAAAGGCTTGTTAGAGAATAGTTAAATAATATCTAATGCAATTATTCCAGAAGGATGCAATTATTCTAGAATGACACCATTTCCAGAGATGTGAAAGTAGGAAAAAAACCTCAATAAAACATATTTTTAACCAAAAAAGAGGAAAACTGTTCAACTAGGTTGAAATCTTTAAGTTAGCTGTGGAATTACTAAAACTTAACGTCTATTAAATTGAGAATAACAACAGCTACGCTGATAGGGTACTTAAGTGTGTTTTATATATTTTTTCAGTATCTTTTCCTTGATAACTCCATCAAATTTTGGAGTCAGACAATTATTATTGTTAATTTATGAACATAACCAAAACCTGTATAGGAATATAATGGAAGCAGTTTATGGACAGATATATAGTCTGACAAGCCTATAGAAGACAGTGATATTCCTAGAACACAAAAACAAAAACAAAAACCCCAACAACAACAAAAAGGGAAATGCTGTGTAATATTATTGTGCACATTAGCACCAAGACATATATTCATGATGCAGTTAAGACAACATAATATTAGGAACCAGTTGTAATGAGGATGCTTGTGACATTTTTACCAGAAGTGGGTGGTGTTTTCCCCAGCTGACTGGCTGTGTGATTCAGGCTGACGTTAGAAAAGCCAGAAACCACTTGCTATCATTACCTGTTGCCTTCCAATCCCATACATTTCACATTAAGGTACTCACTTTCACTGCCAAAGCACTTCAGGCTTCTCTTTAATAGTGTACCAGGCTTTACAGCTGGCCACCAACCTCCTGGTTCTTAGGTGCATTCTCTGTTGCAAAAGAAAATTAAGCAATCAATACACTTTTTAGGCTCAGTGTTCAGACTTCAGTGTATCTGTTCACAAGTCTAACTGTACAGCCTTACAGAGTTAAATGAATTCAGAGACCCTCAAGAAAAGAAATCTGATATCTGTTGTTATTACATACTTCTTCTCAGATTATGTTTCAAAACAATTCTTGAAACTGTTTGTATTCTTTTTAAATCTATGAGGAATGTAGCTCTCTAATTCCACATATTTGTTAAATACCTTCTATTTTAGATATTGCGTGGTTAAGTGTGTTCACAACGAATGGAGCAGCAGTTACTGATAAACGTCTTGTGGGAAAAAAAGGTATCATCTCTTTGTTAGGGTCTGGTTTTGAAGATACATTTGAGTGTAGGAGAAGATGGTAGCAGTGTTTTACACATAGACTTGCCATTTGAAGTAACATATTGTATCAGATTTTTCACTTAGCTCAGGTTACTGGACAGGTCTAAAAATAAAAGAGCCTTTCTGTGTTCCATGAGAAAATCTTCAAAGTTACAGAATTTGTAAATTAGGAGTAGTGGTTTGGATTAGAAAAAAAAAATGTATGTAAGGGAATACATTGTATACAAACTGGAACATACAAAATTTTTTTTGTAGAAAAGTGTGGGTGTTACATTGCTGGCATATGAGTCTTAAAGTGAAGACCTGTTTTAGCAGGAGAGGAAAACCAAAGAGAAATTAATATGAAGAAAGAGGAGGCACTCTTTCACAGCTTTCATATTGTACACTTAAAAAATTATTGAGAAAATCAAGGATATATTAGTTCAGGTATTAGATTGGAAGAAAAATACACTCTAATTACAGACATCAAGGGCTCCTGTAACCAATAATAACAAATCCAATCCATTACTGCACCTTGAAGAAGGGACAAATGAGATTTCTAGGGAACAGCATAAAAATACTGATATCCTCTCAAATCCCAAAGCTTCACATTTTAGGGATATCCCCAAGAAAGACATTTTTAAATTTATTTCATTTCAAGGCATTTTCTTTGCATGGATTTTAAAATTGCCCCTTAGACTCTGATAAGGTTTTAGTGACCAGAGAGACAAGGTAATCAATTCAAAAGCCATTACAGAGTGGAAGTATCTTTGGCATACAATCATGGAAAAGTTCCTTACTTTCCTTGCCATTCTCTGGCTGGTTGATAAACCACTTGTCACCTCTTTTAGAGGTGATAGAGAAAAGCTGGGCTCCTTTGGACTTAGTCAGATTTAACAATGTATAAGCAAGTCACAATAAACTCTACAGAAGGAGAAAGACAAGGATAGTTAGGATATAAGTCATGTTGATGCATGTCTCTGGTCAACTGGATGAACTCCTGCGTACCTCTTTTGTTGTCACTCTTACCTTCAAGAGAGAACACTCTTGACTTGGATAAGAAAACTTTCTTGCCTGTTGATATATCTCTTAAATGCTACAACTGAAATTGGACAATTGCAGCTGAGGTAATCTAAGGTGATGTCACAAAACGTAATAAAAATTACAGAACTGTAGGCCTGCTATGGTGGTCTACCAGATTTATCTAAATACTCATTTAAACTGAATAAAGCATAGTCACTTTGAGTTTTTCTCAATTTTTTACAAGGATTTTTATGCTATTTTCATGCTATAGCTATCTCAGAAAAATGCCTTCAGAAGAATAATACAAAAGCATTACAGTTAAGGAAAGTTAAGGCAAGTAAAATCAGGGCCAAGAGCATCTAAAATTAGTCAAGTGAGATGAATACATTCTGTTAATTCTGAATAGCCTTCAAAAGTTAAAAAATGCCTTTGATAATACGTAAAAAACCTCCAAACTTCTTAACTGTGTTATTGCATAATAAACTAACGTCTTTTAAGTTTATGTTCAGCTGCTGCAGTTAAATATAGATCAACTGCTAATTTATTTTATATTTTTTACCTTAAATGGAATAATTTTAAAAGCACAAGAGGTGTTTTTTGAAATAAGTTTGCAAGTCAGTCAGATAAGTATGCAAATTTAAAGTCTCACAAAGTCACAGGCTTTAAATACTTTAGACAAGAGAATGGTATGAAGAGTGATTGTATCTATTTCTATTTCCATGCCTATAAACTATGTTTACTCTTTGTAGAGCATATTCAGCTCTTTATTTTATAAGGTGATACTCATATTATTGCAATATTCTCCTCTGTGTAAAACAGATTCTAAAAATTTGGTGAGCCTTACACAGAGATCAAAGCTTAATGAATTTGTCCTGTTGTGCAAGGGTAAGAAGCATCTCTCTCTAAAGGTAAGAAGTTGTTTATTTTCTTTATAACATGTGGGTTCTCTTTCTTACTATAAGACAATTTCCTATAGAGAAGTTTTCAAATCCATTTTTATTACCACTTTCCACATTTCATAACTTCTGAATATGTCCCTTAATTATTTTTGGGAAATACTCAAAGAAGTTTATTGCAAAAAATTTGGGTTGTGTAGTTAACTACTGCCACTTGAAGATAGTCAGGGATGTTAGGGTCCAGTCTCTGTGGAAGAAGAGAGAGCTTCTTAGCCAGAAAACATGCAGGAAGATAAGAGGGGAGTAAAAAGCAGAAATCTTGCCTTGGAAAGAGATGAGTTTAAGATGGAAATTATTTTCTTCCAATGAACCCACATTACAAGACAAGGAATGTGATAAAGAGAAAACACAGCTGAACATCCAGTTTCAAACATTTAACATCTGGTGTCTAAGAATTCCCATTTTCTCCAGCCTTGTGAAGGTTTCTTTCTGATAGGAAGGGAAGGGAAGGCAAGGCTAGTCTTCCCCAGTGAGGGATTATAACCATTGCTAAAATCTGTCTGAGGAAGTTCAGTCAGGGCTGCATTTCTAAATAGGACCTGGGCATTACACAGTTTGGAGGACTGTCTTGAGTATTTGCTTTCAACCCAATTTAATTTGCATTGCAAATGGTAAAGGTGGAATATATTAATGGAAGTTTTTCAATAATTTATAAATTTATTAATTTTGGATTATTTGAATGTAATAATTAATGAACTTCAAAAAAAAGGTAATTTTCTTTAGAATTACTGCCACATCTGATGGGTTTGAAAAGTGAAATATATGAAAAAATTACCAAATTAAATTACAAAATTAACAAATATGTGTGTTGTAAACACAGGTTTTAAAAGCATCCTGTTCAGAGCCAGATGGTCCTTCACTGGAGAGATGTAATATGAAAACATGCAGCCATGAAGATCCTGACTTTAAACAGGTATACAATCATGATCAAACAAATATCAACCTGTGTGTGAGACTGTGTATGCAAATACAGGTGTGTAAAAAGGGCAGCTAAATTCATCCTGTTACTCATTAAGTGACAAATTGCTTACTTGTCTTTCAGCTGATTTTTTGGGTTTTTTTCTCAGAAAAGGGAAAACACAAAATTTTCCCTTGAATTGTATTTATGACTACATCCTTCAATCTCCAGGCAAAATATATGACTTTCAATTAAAACATGAAAGGTGGATATATTTCCTGTATTATTATGCTTATACAAAATGGAGGTAGATACAAAGTAGATTTTATCTAATACAAATTCTTAGGCAAGAGGCTGAAAATCTGAGTGAGTAAATTAGCAGATAGGATCTAGAAGATCTAGAAGGATCAGATTACAAAGTTGTGGTGTTTTAAGAACTAATGAATCCATTAGTCATAAACTTCTGGGAAGTAATAAGACCCTGTCATTTTCAGGATTTTTTCAGATGAATCAGAAATTCATCTGATTAATTTCATATCATCAGATGATTATGAATCAGGATTAATGCATTGTGGAAAGAAATACAGATAACTGGGTGGTTTCTTCACATATTTTTGTAACAAAAGCTTGGTTTTGTCGATTCTTTTCTATATAGAAATGATAAAACATAGTACCCACATGACGGAAATTAGTTTGGGATACCTAAACTTTAGGGATACTCTTGGGATACCTAAACTTTAGGGTAATAGAAGTTATAAACCTACAGAAAATGAAAAACTATGTAGCTAATAATATTTTTTATTAGAATTGTATCCCTGTGACTTTATCATTCAACTGAAAAGCCAAACTTTCCAATTTCAATAGGCAAAATTAGAGCTATCTGAACCCAGGTAGTTTCAGAACTTCATAAGAGAGACTCTGAAACCCTGAAAACCTTAAATTCCCAGCTCAAAATTTCTAAAATGCTGACTTCAATCATAAAGCATAGAATTAATAATTCTGGTAAATTGACGTCTATCTGAAGTGGTTTTCAAAAGGCATGAGCTACACTACTACTAATTAATTAATAAATCTGCTGCATTCTGGGCCTGGAAAATCTAAATGGGTCCTTCAGTTAAGTTCTGCTGAGTTACTCATCTGCCACTAATATTTCTTGGCTCCCTACAGAAGGAGAAAGCAGTAAAGCTTAGGAAAATTTTAATACAACTTTTAGTACCCCCCCCCCCTTGTATGCTGTAAACAATCACAGTCATATTGAATTTTGAGCATTATATTTAATACACTTTTTTGTGTCATGCACTTTTTTAACATAAAAATACATGCCTTTTCTGTGGAGCTGTTCACAGAGGCTTAGTATCTTTTCGCAGCATCTGGAAAGAGCTGTAACAATTGCCTGTAGAGACCTATGTATCACTTTGGGTTTTTAAACATAATTAAAATGCAAAATTCTTTCTGGAAACCCATTCATTACCTAGTAAGACAGATAGTGATCTGCTCATCATGGTTTCTTGCTGATACTCTGAAACAGAAGAAAAAATGTCACTCATTTGTATGAGGAGAAATCAGAAGCCTGCACTTGAACCACATCCTGTTGGGTAAAGAGGCAAAATCATAGGCAACTCTGAATCATGGGATCCTTAATAACCATTCTAAAATGAGTGTACTGATCAGTAAATAATTCCTAGCATGATGAATAGTGCTTGCATTGTCCTTAGGATGAGAAAGTGTGGGAGTAGTGCACTGAGATGGAGAAATACTTCTCATGGATAATGACAAAGCTATTCAGATCTGCAATGTGATATTTATTCTGCTAGCTTTGAATAGTAAATCTTAAAGACGGGCATTTTCTTTTTTTTTATTTGAAGACTGCCAGTAGAATTAGCAGAAATATGAGAATGTGTGGACCCTCTCATTATACCAGGAAGAGCTATATATAGTGTAGTAAACATTCATTTCTGTAACCAAGGCTATTGAAATATGGTTCACAATCAATATTAATTTAAACATATTTTATTAAACTTAATTAAAATATTAATTAGGTTGTAATAACAATAAATAATTTATAATTACAGCAAATAATAATTTACAATAACATCTGATTCTGATTGGGGATTAAGTCAGAAAGGCAACACAGGTGGCAACCAATATTTATTGCAATGCTGTTGTGGTAGGAATGGAAAACTGCACTGTAGATAAAACTATGGCCTCACACTGTTCACACAGAGGCAGCATCCCAGCCAGAGCAGCAGTGGAGAAGCTGGCCCCAAGAGTTCACTCAGGAGCATTTACTTACAATTGTGATTATTCTAACTCTATTATAGACCATGCTTATCATAAACTATAATATCATAGAAGACAATGCAGTTAACTGCACAACAGAATGATGTCAGAGCTACAGAACAGTATTTCACTTTAGATTCTCCACTTAAAAGGTTTTCCCAGTTCCCCCACCCATTGCTCATAATTCTCCCAGTAGGTAAGACAGTTCCCATTTTACAATTTGCATTAATTTTGTGTTATTTTTTTACTGTTTCTATTTTTTACTCTTCCAGAAGTGCAGAAATTACTGAGCCTGTAATGGTTATCAAAGAAGCACACATCTTCTTCAGTACTTACCTGTAGTGTCTCACTTTAGTGTAACTACTGTTCTGGTTCAACCATAATATTTTATGTGTTCTTGACCCATTCCTACCCTCAGACTTTTGAGGATGTATTCATTACACTTTCAGCTTTTCTTAAGTACTTGTAGCACTCAATTTTCCTTCTGTTAAATCTTCATGAATTAAAACATTTTCTTAAAAGAATACTAGAGGATAGAATTCAACAATTTCAATTGCTGGATCAGGCTGCTTCTCTTCAAGATGTTGTTCCTTGCTGGATAATGCAAGTTTATTAGATCATTGTATCTGGACAGCATTTCCCAAAGTTTTGACAGGAATATCCAAGCCTGGGTGGACTGAAAGATTGCAGCTGTGAAAGTTCTATTAAGAGCTGTAACAGTTTTTATTCCACAGTCCCCTCTGTTTTACTGAGCAGTTTGACGAAGACAAGAAAGAGATTTTACCAGAGGCTACGCAGTCATGAAAGACATTACTCTTTACTCCAGTTAAGTAGGCCAAAATAAACTCTAAACATGTAAAATCTGGCGAGGCCCACAAAGATATCTTGGTTCTGAAGCTTTGACATTGTAAGAACTCACAATGCCATCTTTACTGTGCTTGGCAGCAGGCTGACAGGGGCACAGCCCTTTTGGCACCCAGCATGCAGCTTGAGGTTTCTGGGTTTTTTTGCTCCAAAAGTTGATTCACTTTTGCAAAGCCAAGGAGTGATCAGCAAGCCTCACTCACTCTTCAGTAATCACATATGGCCAGTGTAGAAGTCTGATGAAAGTTGAAAGTGCACTGCTCTGGGCTGAACAAAGTCATGCTGCCATTGAGGGCTGCTGTATCAGACCCTGCATCTTCGGTATGAATGGAATCAAAGGTGGCAGCTTTTGCATTCCTTTTGTGAATGCTACAGCTGATATTGCCACAGCATTTTTCTTGATCACTTTGGCGCAGGCCGAAGTTTGCTTTCAGTGGAGGGATGTACAGTACACCGGGAGCTGACTGGTCCAGGGCTGGAAGCACAGCCCTACTATTTGTCAGGAAGGACCAACTGTGGTAAAACAATAGACTGAGGTGTGTTGCTCTAGCCAGAATCCAAACCCCTGCCCCAGATATTCGTGCAATCCCACTCCGTGACAGTGGACAGGGGAGAGAATATGCAAGAATCTACACCTCACTTCTTAAGATTTCAAAAGGATAATTGAACCACAACAAGTTACTGAATAAGGAAAAAGAAACAGTGCTGGGTGCTTAGCTGCAGCCAGATGCACACTGCCCAATAATTCTTATATATGCTATTGACAAGCCAACCCCCTGGTAAGCCAACCCTCCCCACACTTGTGCCTATGTCACTCTTCCATCTCAGCTCCTCCTTCATCCTGCTTTTTGCAGTTTGTGCAGTTCTTCTTGCTTCAACTTTCCCAATGGTCAGAGATCAACTTTCAACATTACAAAACTTATATGAAAAAAACACCAGATCTTAACAGAAAATCTTTTAACCTTATAATATACGTTTAACATTCATGAGAGCCAGCAGCACTCTATCAATTTATTACAGAATAGCAAGAACAAAAGTAAGAAAATTTTTGAGTTCAGAAAAAACTCAAAAGTAAAACATATGAAGGTCAGAAAAAACCACAAATGATGAAAAATCACTTGCTCATCTTCTCCCCTGACCAATGCTCAGCCAGTCTCTGAGCAGTAGTCTTCTCAGAAGCAAACACCCATCCTCTCAATCCTACATTTTCCATCCTCTGTACCAGGCTTTATGACTATTTTAACCACAGACCACATAACTAATTCGTAATGACTTCCAACGCCCATAACTTCTGTGATGCAATTGAGGCAGCAGCTCAGATTTACTTGTCTGCTTACCATCATTGCACTACTCATGTCTCTTTGTTCACATGCCCTTTGATTCCTTGCTGTATCTGAGGCGAAATGTAGATTGCAGTGTGCCCTGCACTCCTTTGTGTAACCTATCATAACACCACAAGATGCTCTGTTTCAGCTGGCCTTCCAATACATTTCTTCTTATCTTCTAGTTTCTTCCTAGGTTAGAATGCAGCATTTGAACCTAGCTTGGAGTAATGCTCATTGTACCATATTCGATCTGACTTTATATAATTTTGAGTCTATTTATTTTAAAATTTGTAAACTACTCTCTCACATCTTTTTTTGTAGTTCCCATCACTGACCTTTTCTTCTTTAGCCTGTGAAGACAATATTTGTGGCATTTTTCTGACATGAGCATATGTGTTCAATTTCAAGTGCATGGTGAATCACCTGTAGGACATGAATAAAGGTGAAATTTTTGTCATTAAATGTGAAGCCTAAGCTGTAAATTTGTTCTTTACTTAATGCAATAGAAAACAAAATATTGGATTGTAATTAAAAATCAGTAGTCTTTTTTCTTGGAACTTGCAAATTATCTTGACTCCTACTGCAGAAACTGTCCTCAGGAGGAATTTTATCTGGCAGTAGACCACCACATTCCCCAGGTTTTCTTGTCATCCTTCTTTATAGGTCATAATAGAAAATCACCTCTGCCATGATTTCTTGCAAAATATTTTGTTCTTTCCAATGACCTACTGCACCTCCCAGCCCTAAAGGTGTTTCATTATGCTTCTACTCTGAGTTCAATGGTGCTTTGTTATGCTTCTACTTCTCCCTCTCCCAATCAAATAGTGTCATTCTCCAAACCATTTTCCTCTTACAGTTTTCCATCTAATTTTCTATCATTTCATGCAGGTACAGTAGGTATTTTTAAACTTCTGGATCTCAATCTGCTTTTGTGAGCATGTAAATTTTGCTTTACAAAATGCCTTTGAAATCTCCCTTGCTCTAGCATGAATTTCTGCATTGTACATACAATGGTCTCTCCTGGCTTCTACTGGTTTTCTTTCACCAAACTTTCTTATTCCTTTTATGTTTACTTTTTACCATTCTGAGTCCCTAGAAGGTATTTGTTTCCCGAAGACCAATATTCTTCAACTTTCTTAATAGTATTTTTTAAAATTTTAATATTTTTGATTGAAGCTGCAGACACTTTTGCTACATTGAATTGATCAGGACAGAATGTTCTAGCTTCTTCCCATTATAGTTTTGCTGATAACAGAAGATGTATCCTCAAGTTTCCTTGAGGTACTCTGCTATAACTGCAGGACATTTTCTTTGCATCTCCTGTTGTCATACAGGCTAAAAGGACAGATTGCTCCTTCGGTCAAAAGGTGATTATTGTCAATGCTTTAATCTCCAGCAAACTGGTACCCTTAAATATGCTCCTGCGTTTCCTCAAGCATTCAGTTTCCTTTTTCCCCTTAAGCAAGGGGACCTCATGATAATACACCAGACTAATCAGAGTTATAGAACTGGATGGGACATGGGCAGAGTTATAGAACATGGGTGGAACAAGACTGTTCAATGGGTTCACTCAAAAGGAAAGTTAAAATAATTTGATTATGATACATTCAGTCTTTCCCAAAAGATACTATGAATTCCCTGCTCTGTGGCAGGAAGCTGAGTTGGGGGAACACAAATCTTGACCTTCTATTAATTAATGTCCCACTATTAGCATCAGGTAACTATTGACACAGTATTCTCAGTTACTCCTTTGCTCAGTGCACACAGACAGGAGCAGGGGCTCACACCCCACCCCAGCAGGCTCCAGGCAGCTGTGAGCAGTCACACCCAGGGGTGCTGGTTTCAGCAGCTGTGCTCACCCAGGGGTGCTGGTTTCAGCAGCTGGGCTCACCCAGTGCCCTGCAATCTCTGTCCAGCCACAGCAGCTGCTCGGATGTCCTGTGCATTACACAACCCGTGGTAGGTGCTGGAGGAGCGCTGGGGACCACGGGCAGGTTCAGCAGCCCTTTGTGCCCCAAGCTTAACAGTTTCTGCATATTTCAGCACATATTCTTCCTCTCTCTGGCATGATGATTTTTTGTAACTATTTCTCCATCCCTACCCTGAGGTGCCCAGTCAGCCCAAACACATATGAAAGCCCCTCCACCCACACACAGAGTAGCTCTTTAGACAATAGCTATTGCTCCAGAGATAGATCTTTTTAAAAAGTGCATTGGAAACTGGAGATATACAGTAGTATACACAGGTAATAAAGTGGTTTAAGAGTAATTTCTACTGTAACATTCTGATTTTATGTCAAAGGAGGCAAGAAAAACTGTGGATTAGCATTTTACTGCTAGTGTCAGTTGACAAGGTAGGCCTAGGGTGAGAAAATAACCAGATGAAAAACCTAAGTTATTGTAAATACACTGAGGAAACTGTTCTGGTGTTTTAGTGAAGCAAAGGTATGCATCTGTTAGTCTGGTATTACTCAGTCTTTGAGGGACATGGGTATTATTTTTATTCATAGTCATCACAGAATCTACCTCAAAATTATTAGTTGTTGCCTAAGGTTTATTTAAAAATTGGTAAATATGAGTCACTGGAGAAAAGCATAACAGGCATAAAATATAACAAATCAACAACATACATGAGTTTTTGTCACATTTGATGTTATAGAATGGCATTAGAAATACAATGTGTTTTTTACTTTGTGTATTTTCGTAGCTGAGTGAAGATAATAACTTTTTCATCATGCATTACCAAGGAGATTCAGTGCAGTTCCAATGCTATGAAGATAGAAGTTACTATCTGTGTGTGAATGATGACTCACTTGATATTCGCAAGCTGGAAAACAAAGCGCCCAATGAGGACAAAAATTTTTACTTCAGGGTGTCATATTTACAGGAAAAGTAACTTGTCTGCCTTTCAGTGGCCTAAGTGTCCATACAGCTCCTAAGAAGATGAGGAAGTTTGAGATCAACTAATTTCTGTTTGAGCTAAATTTTTACATTGTCTTAATTTCTAAGTCACCAACGTTCTTTATTTCTGTACATTCAATAGCAAAAGAGGAAGGCCCAGTTTGAAAAACTTGATACTAACTGATCAGTCTCTGTGTCTTACCTACCAATTACGTTTTTAAGGAACCAAAATATTCTGGTGTGGGAAAATATACAGGGGATATTTCAAAGATGGCAACAATAAAGAACATATTTGAATATGATCATAGAATGTGCCATTAGTTCTCCATGTCATAAACATTGTACTTTTTAAAAAACTGTCTCTTATAATCTCACCTGAATGTGACAAGAAAATTTTCAGAAGTTGCTAAATGCATATGTGCATATCCTGATTGACTAACTTGGAGAAAGAGTCAGAAAAGGTGTCTTGATTCTGTCTGAGAATAAGGGACGATGCTGGAAGCTAGAAGATGTCTCTGCACCTGTAGCTCCAAGCCAGCCCATATAGTCCATTATGCAATTTCAGCATCTCTCCAGCATGGCAGCTCTGTAAGAAAATGTGCACAGAACATCAGATGCACAATGTGCAGGCAGAGGGAGGGAGGCACATTGAACTGATGGGCCAAAACAGATGCCTGAAAACACAGCAGAAAATTGCTCTGACATATTGGCTTTCACTTCTGAGTCATGGAGGGAAATATAATCACATGTTCAATTGCAAAGCAGAGTGCAGAACAACATCAGAAAAACAATAATGTTCAAAATTACTGAGTAAAATAAACACTAAGTGTTTATGTGGGGTACACTGGAGGAGACATAGGAGTACCTACCTAAGAGCAACAGGGTCTGTCAGTATCAAATGGAAGATGTTGACACTTAAATGTCCATAGACCTTGCCCTGCAAACCATAACCCTGCAAACCCCCTGAAAGTTATCAGGATCACTAAGTGTCAAAGATCTGGTTCTTCATTCCTGTACATGGAATTCCTCTCTGATTTAGTGGCAGTTTTCTCTGATGCAAGTAATTTGAGACTGTATGTGTATAAATGATAGACATGGTGCATCTATGCCAAGAGACTCTTGCTTAGTTGCAACAAAACAACCTACAAGATAACACATTTGCAAGAATAGTCCTGTGTAAGTATAATAAACAATGCACGCCTGAAATAGGAATCCTAACATCAGTCTGTCGTTCACACCAATGCGCATTGCAATCAGGCAATTTTCTGATGTAAACTAAATTCCATAGGTGCATGAGACCTTAAAAGATTTCACAGCTTGCTTGTTGTATTCTTCAAATAGCGAAAATCTTTATGTTGGTTATAATACTCATTGAAGAGAACTTTAAAGTATTTTCTAAATAATATTTACAACACCTGGACCTGCAAAGAGTACAATAAACTGCCAAGAGTTAGCATGAAGAAAAAAAACCCAAAAGTCTGGATATTAATTTCAGCATTTATTACACTAGAATCAAGTTAACTTAAACTACTTAAGATGTTGCACAAGACATAGATTCAATTGTAGTAAGTACATTAATCTCACTATCTGATACACTAACACTTCATAGTCATACATTTATTATGGGTAGGGTAATCCTCTCACTAAATTACAGAATGTGCTAGAGGGCAAGTTGATGAAAAGATGACACATCACCATAAAGCTTGTACAAAGCATATAAGCATATTAATGAAATCAGTGCTGCTGATATCACCACAAAAGTAACATTTACCTCAGTTAAATTTGAATCTATTTTATAGTCAAAATTTAAATTATGGTTATATGCAGAATTTTGAACTTTTACCATGTGCCATCTTTAATTTTTTTTAGCAATTAAAGGGAAAATAAGCCTTTACGGAATACAGCAGTGGTAACTTTGTAAAATTTTGGATTTAATATCTAAGATAGTAATATCATTTGTCTTCTTTTCTCATCAATCACAGTAAAATCAGCCAACTTTGTAACTCTAAATGTACATAGTAAAGCAAGTTAAAAAATTCTCTATCCTAATCTTTATTGAAGTCTTATTTTGATCATAAAAATCCCTTCAACTCACATTTTCCAGTTCCCACTAATCTAAGTGTCTTGTGAATGGCAGATAAGTTTTTAATGTGTGAGATGGAAATCATATAGAAATTTTATTTTAAAATAGAAAATGAAAGCCATTTCAGAATGGCTTTCAGAAAAAGTATAGTTCAGAAAAATGTAGTTTCAAACACTTTACAATTAAATCCAATGTGTCTAACATTTGAATATGAAATATAATTAGTATTTTCCTGTTTAAAACAACAATTATATTATTTAACTTTCATTTAACAGATGTGATAATTATTAAACTAATAATATAGATATGTTGCTCTTGTATTTCTGCCCTTCTAAAGCTGTGCCTTAAATAAAGTGCTGCATTTTGTTTGCTTAGGCCAATGTAATGCAAGTATTCTTCATATATTACTTGTAGTATTTTGACCATATTTGTGAGTTCCTGCAATAAACCTGTGAGAAGCACTACAATAACTATAAAGCAAGTGATCTTTCTCTGTGTTACATTAACTTCCTTCATTATAGGGAGCCAAAAGAGCTAGAAATTTGAACTAGAAATTGTCATTTTTCTTGCCTCTATTTGGCATTTTCAAGGCTATGTCTGCATGTGATGGCATGCCACCACTTCCCCCATTCCCGCTTGAGCAAGGGCCACCCATGAGGTTTGTAGTGCATCTGACTGATGGATGCAACTGTTCAGGGCCATAACTCTTGCTCAGCAGCCAAGGGCCATAATTCTTGTTCAACATTCAGTAGACACTAAATGTCTCTAAAGTCTAAACAAATTATTACGATCTCACATAGTTATAATTACAATACTGCTAAAACTTGTAAGCAATCCAAATTATGCAATTTCAGTTGAGGATCTTAAGTAACACAACATCTCAATAGAAGGACTCATTTATGCCTTTTCCTTGGTGTTAAATGTTCACCTTGCACTCACAATCTGATGTCAAGGGCTCTTTTTCTTAGATAGGATGATGTGGTCAGGGTGCCATCACAGTAAATACAATACTTGTGTATCTTGTAGTTCTCAGCTGGTTCAAACAGAAGAACACTCTCCCTTGAGTATTGCTACTTTTATATATACATAGTATTAATTTTAAAGATGCATATAATCAGATATTATATTATATTATATTATATTATATTATATTATATTATATTATATTATATTATATTATATTATATTATATTATATTATATTATATTATATTATATTATATTATATTATATTATATTATATTATATTATATTATATTATATTATATTATATTATATTATATTATATTATATTATATTATATTATATTATATTATATTATATTATATTATATTATATTATATTATATTATATTATATTATATTATATTATATTATATTATATTATATTATATTATTGTAATTTTGGTTTTGATTCTGTTTGTCCATAATTTATCTAACGAAAGAAATGACAGTTCGTGCGCTTTGAGTGCAACTCCCCATATTCCCTGTTAATACAAAGAGTCTGCAGAAAAGATTCTCTATCAGCCCCTCCCTTCATTGCCTCTGGTAAATTACACGGGTTAACTGGCGGCCAGGAACCAGACACAGTGCCCGCTCTTGTACAGCTCCTTGAAGTCGTCCATCTCTAGCACCATCTGGTGGTCTCTTGTAAACTGCTATCCATATTTCATTACATCATCAAGCTATAAAAAGGTCTCATTTAGCTGAAAACAAAAAAATATATTTATTTTTCCAAACCTCGAGATTAATTTCCAGATTACACAGAGCCTAGATCTCCTTTGTCTGGAATGACTAAAGGGTGCAGACTAGCAGGTCAAGGAAAAAAATACTTTTCCCCTCTGTTTGGCATTTTCAAGGCTCTATCTGCATGTGATGGTGTGCCTCCACTTCCACCATTTCTGCTAAAGCAATGGCCACCAGTGATGTTTGTGGTGCATCTGACCAATGGATGCAATACTTCAGAAGCATAATTCTTGCTCAGAAGCCAAGGTCCATAACTCTTGTTCCACAAGGCAAAGGCTAGTTGGGCACATGCCAACCCCCAAGTGCAGCTGCTGTAGGTCAGCCATCCTCCACAAGCCAAGGACAGCCCAGGCCCATTGATCTGTCTCATGGGACAGCAGCTGCAGCCAGGATCTCCCCTTGAGCAGGGACTCCTCTCAAGGTTACTCCTCAAGGCTGAGAGATTCCTTGCTGTAATAGATCCTTGGTAAGTGATCAAGAGGATCCTCCGCTTTGAAATCCTACCTAAGTGATATAAAGGATTGATTGTGCCCAAGTCATCCTTCAGACATGGACCAAGTCTGGGACTAAGTCTGGATGCAGCTGCATGGAGCTCCCCAATTAAAGAAGTTGAGAAAGCAGCAGGGTCCTTTCTGAACCTCTGACTCAACAGCAGGGTCTCTGATGGTTCTGCCTCACCCTGTCCTTTATGCAGTAAACACTGAAGAGCTCATGCCATCACATCTGATTTAACAACTCTCACATTTACTGTGAAACTTTGGTAAATCACAGTTTAGACAAAAAACCACGTGGCTATATCTCCGTTACAAGTGCAGTGCATCAATCCATCCATGACACAGCAGTACTGTGTTCAGTTTTGGGCTTTCCAACACATACTGGAGCAAGGCTGAGCAGAGACAAGAGTAAGCGAGGAGGATGGAGCACCTGAGGAGGAAGAGCAACAACAGCAGTTTTTGTTTATACTGGAGATTAAAGGAAACTCTTCACCTATCTGTAGGGGGATTGCAGAGAAGATGGAACAAAACTTTCCTTAGAGGTGCACATCAGAAGAACAATAAGCAGAAATCACAAGTTATGAATTGTCACTGCCTGTAAATAAAAAGAAAACCACAGATGATTCAAGAAATGGAGCAGGTTTTGTGATTACAAAGTATTAATCTTCTAAATTTTTCCAGATTCAGTAGAACAGGGCTCTGTGCACCCTCACCTAATGCTGAAGGTAAGCCTCTTTGAACAGGTGGTTTGACAAAATGACCTCCAGCAGCTTTTTCCAACATAAAGTATCTTGTAATCCTGTGATTCAAAGGAAGCTTCTGTGTCTTGGAACTCACAGAGAGTTTAATCCAATGAATGAAAGAATTCAATAGAACCTACACAAACACACAGATAAACAATATAAAAGAAAAAATAAATCCTGTTGATTTCACCTCAAAGCACAATATTTTCAGGATTATATACAGGCTTAAGGCCAAGAGAAAACACATTCAGAACCAGAAAAAATGTCATCACAAGTGAAAGATTGTGTCTAGATCTCCAGAAAGGTCAAATCAAAACATGTAACCTATTTCAAAGCAGAACATTGTATAAGGAGAACAAGGGGTCATTGGGAAGATAAAAAGTAATTGCAATATGATTAACAGGAATATTTAAAAGTTAGTGTCATTTTACTTGACTGTTTCTGACCTAGTTCTTGCAATAATTATCTTCCCAATACTTGAATGATCTCAGTAAGAGCATTTCACTAGAATTAACTCAAGCCTGCTCTGTAAGGATCCACTCCATTCTCCACCCCAACAGTGAAAATAATGAACAAACTATGATTTTGTTAAAGAAATCAGAATATACATTAGGTATTGTAACATAGACATCAGATAAACTTAGCTGCAAGTGTTGCCTAAATTTCACAAATCGTAAAAATTACTATCACAAAAATTAATTTCCTGCAATTAGTGCATTTTTCTCTTATATATATTGAAGCTGGAGCCAAATACAGGCATGATCTTTTCTTAAACATTAAGATTACCTTTTTGGGCGCTATAACAGCAAACCTGGTATTTTCACTGCTTTCTCATTAAAATACTTACAAAGAGAAAGCCACAAGATTTTCAGTGTTCTGGTGAAGTTGCTTGTGTCAAGCCTGGTGACAAAGCAGGCAATATAAGCATTTAGCAGACATTGATAGAAGAAACGAAATTGTTGGTTAATACATCTTTCCTGCCAGTTTATTGACAAAGGGATTCTCAGGTGTTTTACAGAGACTAAACATAAGAAGTACACAAATAATGGGGCAAGGAAGTCTAGAAAAAAGGATTTGAATTTGAGAGAAAAAAACCACAAAATATTTTTTTCCTGGTATGTAATCAAAACCTACTGGTTTTCAATTTGAAGCTATTGCCCCTTGTCCTGTCACTACATGTTCTTACCAAAAAAAAAAAAAAAAAAAAAAAAAAAAAAAAAAAAAAAAAATCTCCAGGTTTCTTGTAGGTTCCCATCAGGTACTAGAAGGTTGCAATTAGGTCTCTCTGGAGGTGCATCTTTTCCTGGTTGAACAAACTCAATTCTCTCAGCTTCCTCACAGGAGTGCTGCTCTAGCCCTCTATAATTTTGGTAGTCCTCTCTGTACTCACACCCAACTCACTCCCATGTCCTTCCTGTGCTGGGACCCCAGAGCTGATGCAGCACTGCAGTGGGGTCTCAGCAGAGCAGAGGGGCAGAATCCCCTCCCTGGCCCTGCTGCCCACCCTGCTCTGGATGCAGCCCAGGACATACTTGGCTTTCTGGGCTGCCAGTGCACATTTCTGGGTCATTTCCAGCCTCTCATCCCCCAGCACCCCCAAATCCTTCTCAGCAGGGCTGCTCTGATCTCTTCATCCCAGTTTATGCTCATACCATGGGTTGCCCCAATCCAGGTGTAGCACCCTGCACTTGGTTTTCTGTCCTAGTTTGATCCCAGCCAGCAAGCAGCCAAACCCCCATTCACCCTCTCATCTGTGGAACTGGGGAGAGAATCAGAAGGGTAAAAGCTGAAGAGCTCAGGGGTTGAGATAAGAACAGTTTAAAAGGGAGAGCAGAAGCCACACACACAAGGAAAGTAAAGCATGGGATTAAATCTGTGCTTCCCATGGGCAGGCAGGTGTTCAGCCAGCTCCAGGAGAGCAGGGCCCCATCACACATAACAGTGACTTGGGAAGAAAAACACCATTGCTCCAAATGCCCCCCACCTCCTTCTCCTTCTCTCACTCTATACACTGAGCATGATGCCACATGGTCTGGAATATCCCTTTGGTCAGCTGGGGTCACCTGTCCTGGCTGCATCTCCTCCTGATCTGAGCATCCCCGGTCCCCTCCCCAGTGTAGCAGTACCAAAAGCAGAAAAGGCCTTGGCTCTGTGCAAGCCTGGCTCAGCAGTAACAAAATTATCTCTGTATTTTCAGCTCTGTGTTCAGCACAAATCCAAAACACAGCCCCATAGCAGCCACTATGGAGGTTTACTCTACACCAGACAAAACCAGTGTTCTTTGTTAAACCTTGTGAGATTCCTGAGGATCCACTTCTCAAGCTTTTCCAGGGCCTTCTGAATGACATCCCATGTTTTAGGTGTCCCAACCATATCACTCATCTTGGCATCATCTGTAAATTCACTGAGGGTGCATTCAATCTGTTTGTCTATGTCATAATAAATATATCAAATAACACTGGTCCCCATATGGGGACACACCACTTGTCACAGATGTCCTTTGACCACAACCCTCTGCATGCCACCATCCAACCAATTTCTCATCCACCTAACAATCCACTCAACAAATCCATCTGCTTTCATTCTAGAAAGAGGATATTGTGAGGCCTGTGTCAAAGGCTTTACAGAAGCCCAGATACAGGACATCTGTCGCCCTTCCTTTGCTTACCAATGCAGTCACCCCACCACAGAAGGTCATGGGGTTGGTCTGGCAGGACCTGCCCTTGGTGCAGCCATGCTGCCTTTCCTGAACCACCTCCCTGTCCTATGTGTGCCTTAGCACAGCTTTTGGGAGGGCCTGTTCCATGATCTTCCCAGACAGAGAGGTGAGGCTGACAGGCTGGTACTTCCCAGAGCCCTCCTTTCTAACTTTTTTGAAGATGGGTACAATGTTTTCCTCTTTCCTATTACCTAGGATTTCACCTGACTTCTGAGACATTTTCAAATATCATGGAGAACAGCCTGGCAAATGCATCAGCCATTCCCTCAGGAGCTTGGGATGTATCTCATTGGGCCCCACAGACCTCTGTACACTCATGTTCCTTAAGTGGACCTTTACTTTCAGTGGGAAGGACTTTGTTCCCCCAGTCCCTGTCCTACTGTCTATACTCCCAGGAGATGTGGGAAGAAATGTTGCCCTTGAAGGC